TTATTTTGTAAAACATACCTAATTACCATTAATTTTTTAATTAGCATTTTAAGAAAAAGGAATCATTATTAACTTATATAATTAGAATTCAAAATTAATATTTGCATGTTTGCATAAACATTACGTACTTATTTATTCATAAATTAAGTTCAAGCTTTTTCATGTACCTGTTATGATGGAAGGATACGTTTGCAGAAAAATAATAAATAATTACTATAGTACTCATAAAAGAAAGCACTGTATATTTCTTTAGATTAATAATCTTTATTTTTTTAATATTTTAAAGATTAAAAAGTATTTATATTTTTTAATTAAACTACTAATTTTAGTATCTATTAATATAAAATTAATGGTAATAATAATTTCGTGTGTAAGAGAACATAAAATGCTTTCTTAAATTAAAAGGCATGTAAAATTTATCAAAATTAATAAACTATTATTTCTAAGATAAGAAAACGAACATTTGGGCTGGTAGAAAATAAGTATGATATATATAACATAATGAATTATAAATATCTTAATAATAGGTATACTGTAATTTTTAAAATTAATGTTTGTTTGAAAAAAATTTATTTTATTACACCAACTGGCCTCGAGTTAGGCTTCCCCAAGGCCAGTTTGGCAGTTTTTGTTGGACCCATTTTTCTTCTATTTTTTATTTTTTCTGTTTTTTTTTTTTTTCCTTTAGTGAGATAAGATAAGGACATGTGTTTTTAGGCATGTGTTTTTAGGCTTAACAGTTAACACTGACATTTGTTATGGAACCCCACCACTCCATCATATGCTGGGACGCCACCCTATAAGCTATTTATTTGGATCTTTTAGAAAGTTGGACTTCACTAACAAAAGTGATCAGCACCAAGAGCAAAACAAGAGAGAGAGAGAGAGAGAGGGAAGAACTTGCCTAACTATTCTAGATCCGAACTACTTTATGGTATATGTTCGTTAATTTCCACATTTTCCAATATTTGATCGTCACTAAAGACAAAGGCAAGTGTCATAGATTGCCAATTTATAAAGGGGTTAGATGGTGACATTGAAGATGTTATCTGTCCTAAGAAGGGACAAGGGAATGGGATTAAAACGGTTTCTTAATGAAAAGTTAGACAACACTAACATCAATTAATAATTTAAGCATACTATAAAACTGCTACGATTCAAGATGATAGGGTTGTAAGCGTTTCATGAAAGATACTTGAGTAACATACTTTATGTCATTGGATTTTGGAAAACAGATCTCCAAGCATGATGAGACCAATAAATAAAAAGGCTTTCGAATCACACTGACACTGTGATCAATTGGCTAGACAAGGTTCATGCGCCATCCCTTGTTGGCAAATTTTGGTAGAGAATTGACAAAAATCTCAATATTAAATTAAAACTTGAAGTTGCTTTTTGTGTTGTATTGATTCATATAGGGGTTTGCAGCATCTTCCTTGTATAATAAACTAAGGTTTCGAGAGTTAGTGCCTCGAAAAGTATGGACAACTCCAAATCCTACATGCGTAATTTAATTTGTTTTTCCATTCCTAGCTACTTCTCTATCAAGATCATGTAAATTGATATTTATATTTATTTTTTATTTCAAGGGAATGGGTCGTTTTCCAGCAGTTTATGAACATTTCTGCATCATTCTCTGAAAGTTACTTTTGTTACACTTCTAAAATATTTCAAGCTGCTAAACAATTAAGTATACTATGCAAAAATTAATAGATTAAGCTTTTGAAAGTCATATTTCACAATTAAAAGGAAAAAGAAATACATTAAATTGCAGGATTGGATTCTTTTGGTATAAAGTATATTCTTTCTTCTCCTTTGGTGCGTGCACTTTCATTTATTTGCTTTTTCACTTGAATGAGGGGAAGGGTTTGGTATAGAAGCACTATAAAATTAGAGCGTGTATAAATTGCTAGTTGTGTGTGATGGACAGTAAGCTGAAAACAGAGACAGTCCTGAAAGTGGATGGCCCATGAATCAACTTGCTGAATTGATCTAAAACAATAATTGAGAAGGGAAATGGGTCCTCTTATTGCTACTGTGCTTAAACGATTGTTTGTGTTGTTGTTGGTCAATGATGAGATTCCCCCATATATATTAGGCAGTGGTATCCTACATGTCTTCACACGATACTCCAAACCCATTAATTATAACATCGTTTGCTTTTTATTTTTTTAAAAATATCATCTTTTTGTTAAATATTTTACAGATAACTTGTATTTCTTTTTACCTCAAAATGACAACTAAAGAGTTCAAACATGCAACTCAATTGTCAATTGCACAATTCTATCTTAGTTTACTTGACTAACTCCATAAGGTTGGTAGAAACATTATTTGCCATTTTCAACTTTTGCTCAAAGACAAGCTTATTCGGATCATCTCAAACTATTTGCATGAAAACAAACATTAAAAGAAAAAAAAATACTCAATCAATTTGTGATTATGTGTAGTTCGTGGTTTAACTTCCTTCAAAAATTTCCCTCACTTGGAGTTATCACACAATTGGATCAGCTAATTAAGTTTGGATTAATGATTATATTTGTTATTTTTTAAATAAAATATATGTCTAAATATTTAATCAACTTTAAAAACTTGATTTTAATTTAACACACAAATGAATATGTGAGGATTATCATCTTGGAAAAAAATAATTAGTCGATCATAACTTTTTTATTCGATAAATCACCACTTTTGCATGTCCAGTCACAGAAGCCCAAACCCAAGACGCTTCAGAAAAACTAACTGCTGGGCTTTTAATTGTCCATGGACTAGCTCAGAACTTGGGATATAAACTCCATTGTTTTTTTCTAACATAAATAATAGATCCTATTTTATTTTTATTTTTTTTTAGTTTGCATATGTTTTGCGAGCCTGAATAAAAACTTAAAAAAACTTATTTTTCTTTAAAAAAATCACTTTATATTATTAATAAAAGAGAAATAAAATATTTTGTAACTTGATCTATTGTGCAATTGACTAATAATAAGTCATAAATCACCTTAACTTGGTTAAGTGTCTTAATTTGATTAAATGCTAGATTAATTCCCTTATGTCATTCTTGCAACAACAGAAAATAAAAATCATAGACTATGTTGATGTCTAAGTTTGTCCTTTCTTGTTACCAATTAGGTGAAAAACTTATGTCCTTTTTGCTTAAACAAAATAAAATCTAAAATAATTTATCAAAAATAAGTGCTAAATATGTGACATAAATATAAGGTAAAGATAAAAGAGATGTGTTACAAATTAAAAAAATACATTACTACATGAAGACACCACATGTAACACAATTTATTGGTGGGACACATATGAGATGAGCTATCAAGAATACATCTATGATACATGTTACAAGATAGTTGTTTTTCAGCTTACAAGAGAGTTACACTAAACTACGTTAAGTGGTGGTATTTAACTGTTGTTTAAATTTGAAATTTGAATTTATCTCTTTTCCACCTCAATAACAACATACATAAAAAAGAATTATGATAACCCTACTAGTCTCCCTCCCACATTTTTTATTTATTGATTTTCATATACTTGATTTAGCTTTGTGCGTAGCTTAACTAGTGTTGAATTATACTTAATTTTCATGATTTGACATTAAATCATCTGACTTCATAGGACTTAGTTGTTAATCTTGATTAACTTTTGCATAGTAAATCATTATTTACCTTCATTTTTCTAGTAACCTTTTATATAGTATCTTATATCTTGCTCCATATACTTGATAGACTAGGGTGACTGTGGACTCCATGAAAAATTAAAACAAAAAAGTATGCATTGAAGAAGAGCTTTGGACCTACAAAATTCTCTTTCATAGAGTAACTTGGGCTTAAACATGAAGTAGGATCTTTTTATTGGCAGTTTGGCATGAGTTTGATATTTTGGACATAGCCAAATTTTAAGAAATTATTTGTTTCCCACTCTTATGAAGATTCTAAATATTATGTATGTGCGCACACATGTATGTGCTTGCCTATGAAATTTGAGTCTAACCTAACTATTTAATCATCTATTTATATAGCACCTGGACCTAATCTCATTCGTATAACCTAGTTGTTAGACAAATCTCTTATTAGTTTATAAATAAATATTTTGGAAGTAATTATGTAGTCTTGATTAGAAATCTCCAGAATCCTCTCTTCTTTTCCTCTATCATTTTCTCTTTCATTTTCCTACATCTTTATACTTATGTTTAAATCTTATTATTAATTCATAATTCTTTTCTCTCTTTTTCCCCTTTTAATCTTGGATGTGTGCTTATATTTTATGCATAATTAAAATTGATTTCACATTCTGTGCTTGATTTGAATTTAATTATTAGATTTAGTATGCTTAATTTCTCAAAAGTTTGGTAGGGATTAACGAAATCTTGTGATGCTTAACCATAAGAATGGTTGAATCTCAAATTAATCAATCTCAAAATTGAGTTTGCTTTATTTTATTTTTTAATTAATTGTGCTAAGGTGCTTGCCTTAGTCACTATAATTCCTATTTTGATTGAGAATTTTGAATAAACGTAACACTAGAATTATGAATTAAAATCATTGTTGAAATAAGTAATAAGATTGCCTTAGAATCTCTTCCAATGAATTAATTTTTTTAATTGAATTGATTTTTTTACTTGATTTTTTTTTCATGTTGGAACACATGCAATCCCTCCATTTTTATTCCTAATCAATCAATTTCTATTAAAAGTCTTTGAGAAGAATGACCAAGGTTGATTACATTGTACTGCAATGTTTGACCATATTGATACATCAATCTTCTTTACTACTGAATGAATTGTACATGTTTTTTTTTTATTTCTCATTATTAATATTTTTTACCTATAAATTATTAACGTTGTAAATCATTAAAATGTATTAAAAACTGAATTATTTGTATGGATTAACGAGTTGGTTTGATTTACAAGTCCAACCCAGTACCCCCTGCGTAGCCCAATTAGTTATGAACATAGCCCAATAATAATATTGAACCTTAGATCACGCGTAGCGTAAAAGAACCCAAATTTCAAACAATGCTTTTTCTTTCTCCAGTACATTACTCTAACGTGCACAAGTTCGAATTCCAATAAATTAATGAAAGCATCGTCGCAGCGCTTTGCCACGTGGATCTGTTTAAACCATCTTCCACTCTCGAATTCCATTTCCACCGTCACGCTCCCTCTCTTTCCTTAACGCCTAAGCTGTCGCCTAAGGGCACGACCGTCATTTCATTCAAAACTCTTTCTTCAATATTCATCTCCCTCTCCGTTACAAGGAGAAGAATCGAAGGAAGAGAACGGTAACGGAGATGGGGCTTCTGTCTAACAGGTACGCTTGTTTTTCATTTTCCGAAACCCGTTATGCTGTGGTTTTGTGTAATTGATTTTGTGATTATTGTTGGAAAAACGGATGCACAGGGTTACTAGAGAGAGCCTGAAACCAGGGGATCACATCTACTCTTGGAGAACTGCTTATATCTATGCCCATCACGGTTCTCTCTTCTTTTGTTCCTCTTTTTTTTCTATTTGTTTTTTCCTTTTTGTTCTTGCTTGTGGAGTTTGTGGATCTGAGGAAAACGAAATAGGTGGTGCAAAATCAGCTTAACGACTTAGTGCTTGTTTGTTTGTGTTTTGGTTTTTAATTTTTAAAAATTATGTTTTAAAACAATTTTAAGAAACTGTTTTTAAAAAGAAAATGAAAATAAAACTGATGTTAACAAACCTTCTCTTCAACATCGTTGTGTATGTCTTATCAATCGTTTTTCTCTTCTTTCAAGTCTTATTTAAATTTTTGCTTTCTACCACAAAATTTTAGGATTAAATGATGGTTTTGTATTATATATAATGAGATTAAATAATGGATTCGTTTTGCTATAGGGATCATGGAAATTGACAACCATACTATAAGAGAACAAGTGGTGATGATTTTAGCTCCTCGAAAGTGAGAGAACGTGTGAACTGAAAAAAGTGTTGTGTAAACATAACTATCTTTAAATTAATGGTAAAAAAACCTTCAATTTCTCTCTTTACACTTCTCCTCTCTTTAAAGCCAAATCCTTCAGTTATAGTGTGTGTGTGGAAATATGTTAAAAAAACTTGTAAACACATTGAAGCTACATTGTAAATGTGGATCAATAATCATTTAAATGTGAATACAAATATACTGATAGCCAAGGTTATGAATAGATACTTGGCTATGAATAGAGAAGCAGTTTTTAAGGTGTATCGGGTGTTAAAATTAGACAATGCTCTTGCATTGTACTATTGAACATGTGGCGGCCAACTATGTTTGCCATTGTTGTGTTTCAATATCGATATATCAACAATTAGCATGGAAAACATTAAATTTAGTGGTTAAATGTAAGAGATTTGTCTTACACCCGTTGACCATTGTGCCGATGAATCTCTCTATTTGAAAATCTTTATATCAATTATGATTGGAGTTCTTGCATTGTTTGTGAACTAGTGTGAACCTTATTCTATGCTTTTTGGCTCTCACATACTGAGATCAAGTTATGCTTTATTTGTAGACCATTGTCTGTGTCATTGGCAGAATTTTAATTGTGTTTGAATGAATGACAGGCATTTATGTTGGTGATGACAAAGTCATTCACTTCACTAGACGTGGGCAAGAAGTAGGGACTGGTTCTGTGCTAGATCTTCTCCTTGTTAGTTCAGGACCATCCAGGTCTCGAGAAACTTGCCAAACTTGTACAGCACCACAAGAGGAGCACGGGGTTGTTTCCTCATGCCTAAACTGCTTCCTAGCTGGTGGCGTCCTGTATCGGTTTGAGTATGCTGTGTCCCCTACTCTCTTCCTTGCTAAGGCCCGTGGTGGAACATGTACTCTTGCAGTCTCTGACCAGGATGATATTGTGGTCCATCGAGCAAAATATCTACTTGAAAATGGTTTTAGGTGCTACAATATTTTCAAGAGCAATTGCGAAGACTTTGCCATCTATTGCAAAACCGGGCTTCTTGTTGTTGATCAAGGAAGAATTGGACACAGTGGCCAAGCAGCTTCCATTATAGGGGGACCTCTTGCTGCTGTTCTATCAACGCCCCTTCGTCTGGTAACTACTAACGTTTATGGAATGGCAGCAACAGCCATTGGAGTCTACTGTGCCAGTAGGTATGCTGCAGACGTTTCAATGAGGAGGGATGTGGTGAAGGTAGAAGTGGACGAGTTGACAAGAAGTTTGGCCACTGGCTTGCTGCATGTTGTTGAGCCCCAAATTTCAATGAATATTGCTCATCAATCTCCCCAGCTTGCCAGTCATTGATTTAATATTGTCTTTGTTTAAATATTTGGCTAAGAATATCCTGGGTATGTGAGTCCCATGCGTTTTTCTTTTCTTCTTCTGGGTGTGTAAGCAATATAAAATTTAATTGAATAATACTATGGATTTGCATAATTTATTCTGCTGTTTTACTTGTTGCACAAGATCATGAGAGAAGGGGGTTTGTATTGGGATCTATTTTCTTGTTTACTCATCCATGTCCTGTCCTAGTTATCACAATCTTTACGGCTATGATGAGGCCTCTACGGATGAGGAGCACGACAAAGACCGATCAAATGATCACTTAGATAATGGGAATACACGAAAACCACGAGCTATGGCGGTGTGTTTCCCGGGCATTAATTGATCACACTTCATTTTCAGAATTTTTCCATCGTTAAAATTAATGCTTCAATACTAAACTTCATTAAAAGAAAATAATTTAAATATAACGGTTGTGTTATGATATTAATTTTATGTAGGCAACCGTAAAAGTTACATGAGATATTTAAATAAAGAGTAGCAAAACAAAAGAATGGCTTCTCCTATATTTTATACATTTTGTTCTTATATTTTTGTTAATTTACAAATAAATGTATTACAATTTCATTACATTTTTTAAATTATTAAACAAAACTTTGGGTGAAGGAATTATTTTGTAACATTTAGGAAAATGTAAAGATAAACAATCAATATTTAAAAATTTACGTGGATTAGAATCACACAAATTAAAGTATTAAGATTTTAATACCTGAATTAAATCTTTTATTAAAATGGAGCTATAATTTTATTTGTCCGATCTTTTAATATATTTGTTGACTAGTTGGATAGTGAGTCCTAATAACCATCCTTAAATGAGATAAAGTATCTATCTGAATTCTGCCAATATTTCAGCTTTTTCTTGTGTGCGACATCACTCTTTCGCACCTATGTATTAATAGTAGCGTCTTCAAATTAGGTTGGAGGATCCAACGAGGCCTGGCGAGCGCATAAAAATTCTATTCGACAGAAATTACACATTTGTTATTCGATAGTTATTGGATATTTCTAGACAAAAAACAAAAACTCATTCAAAATGAAGAGATACATTTCAATGATAAAAACCTATTATAATCATTGGACAAAATACTAACAGTATTTGAACAACTTGTTAATTTATTGTACATTATATAATATACATGTATTTTATCACAATTTCAAATTGCTCTTTATTGATTGACAGTAACTGTACTTCATCTGCTGAAGTGTACATTCTCATTCCAAGTCAAACTTCTACAAAAGAACAAGATCTAAGCATAAATCTTGAAAATAATTAATTTCATAAACAATTTACTTTTAAAAACAAATATTAATATACCTTCATATTCGCTGGGGGAAGGAAAGAGAGGACAGCAATTATTCATAGAAATAGCTACTCAATTTTCTCCGGACAGCAATTCAAAGAAATTATAGAGAATCGTAAACAAGTTATGACATATCATATCTACCATATAACATAAAAATGTAGCTACACAAAATGCTGCATCTTGCAAATAAACTTACTAAATTTATCTGTCTTATCCGACTATGGTACAATAATTAACTTAAATTATCACGTGCCAGATCTGATCATTGCATTAACTACCCAAAAAAGGTGAAGAATGATGTCAGTAATCCAATTCAATAACAAAACTGCCACACTATTTTCTCGGACAAAAATCTCAGGTACCAGCAAAGATTGTCCAACTTTCCTCAAAAATTGGGGATGGTAATATAGTCATAGAAGAGGGCCTTGACCACTTTTAGAGTCAAGTGGAACTCCAATACCTGACATGACCTTAAACAAGTAAAACAGCATTTATACAACCATCATTTTCTGGGTTATTGGTAACCTGAGCATATTTACCTGCATTCATGGTACACAAATCCAATGTATCAATTTTAGTTAAAATTTCCGCCAATGGTGACAAAACTAAAATACAAGTTCCAAATAATCTTACCCCACACAACTTTCCCGGCAGGTGTGACAAGACCAAGTTCACTAACATTCACCTGAAATTACATTAAGCAAAGAAATAAGTAACACATTTAGATAATAAGTCATTCTACATTTACATTATACCCATGTACATATGATATCAGCAAATAAAAAAGGACAAGTTGGGGTCAATTTAAATGCCCTAAATTGTGAGTATGAAAATAACCATCAATTAAAAGCACAGAAAATATGCATACCTCAATTATAGTTCCCTTGGTAACAACACCAAGAGAGGTGTACATAGGGCCATTTGGGTTTTTCTTCACACCAATCATTTCTAGATTGAATGTGCATTTAAGTTCTGGATGAGTGACATGAGCTTTGGTGAAACGCAATCCAGTAGGACGAATGAACCGCTCATACTTTGGAGGTTTTCTGGTAAAACCAGGTCCAACAAATGTAGCTTTAGTAACCATCCTCTTCCATTGCTTGGCTGAATAATAGCAAGCCATACACAATCAGATAAGTTTCTGGCAACGATTACTCTGCATTCTAATACCCCTTAAAGTGTTTATAATGAACTAATAATATGCTACAGAAAAAAGACAGTAAGACAAATTTGGAAATAAGAAAGGAAATTCTCTGATCATTTAATAAAATCACAACACTATGACTTAAGAGTTAGTGTCTCGAATTAACTGCCCAAAAAAAATACAAATACCTAACCTTTTGTGGCACCAATTAAGATTGTTCAACTAGAAGTTTGAAATCTAAGTCAATAATGAACTTTGGACAGCTAAATATGAATAAGGGAAGACTAAAAATAATACTTACTCTTTCTTTTACCAGAACGGACCACTTTGAACATTTCATCTTCAGCCACAGGACGTACCTGAAGAAAAGAGAAAGCATACAACCATGTAATTACTATAACAAGATCCCCAAACCCACTCCCCCAGCACGTTCCTTTCCTTCCAAAAGAAAATAAAAATAACATTGAATAGAAACGGTCAGCAAATTTCAAGTAGATGTTATTTAATTTTATCATCATCCACCTTAGGTAGAGGAACATCCCATTTCCCAGCTTTCTCCTTCCTCTTTTGCTTAATGGTGTTGCTGAGAACCTAGAAACAGAAATTTGTCAGATTACTTATAAGAACAGACTGCAAGAGAATCAAGAGTCAAAACTGTCTTTCAACAAGCAAGAGACATGCCTTTGCTCTGGTCGTGTTATCACGATCCAGAAGATATGCAGGAACAGCTCCATCTTGAACATTATCATCAGCCTTCCGCCTAGATGTTGACTCTTCATGCATGGCCAAACTGTTGACAGTTAACACACAACAGTGAAATCATCATCTCATAAATTTGACACCCCATACAGAAATCTACGAAGAACAAAAACTACTACACTAATCATCTAACATCCACCAACAACCGAATAAACATGTCATTAAAAAAAATCCAGATATTGGGAATCAACCGCAAACATTTTTATATCAACACCAATGCGATATATCAAAACTGAAAATGGTGCCCGCTGCATCAGAACCGACAATCAAAATCTATGACATAAATTCATACAGGAACACACAACATATAAGGGGGCAAAGTAAGCTAAAACTTAATTATAAAACAAAAAAAACTCACGTTTTCTTCATCTGTGCCTTTTCGGCATAATTTTTCTTGGCAATCATCTTGCCCTTAATACCCAAAGCCTGTTCCACTCAAATTAACGAAAATCCAATTATTAGAAATTATAACACAATTTTTAACACGTTCAAATAAAATCAATTTAAATGTAAATTTTCAAATGAAATCAAACAAATTAGGGGTCAGTGAAACCTTCTGGGCCATTGCAGAGCGCTTGTGAACTTGACGCGCCTCTTTCTTGCGCTTGCGTTCGAAGTGATCGAGGCGGTAGCCATAGTCTCTTCTGTGACGTTCTATGTAATCCCCTTGCGGCTACAATCACACAAACACCAATTAAAAAACAAAACAAAAATCAGGAAATGCATGCCTCATTCAAAAGAAAAATGCGAAGTAGCTTCATGCATAGGAGTTCAAAGTCGAAGTTGAAGAGCGAACCATGGTTACAACGGCGACAGTGTTTTCGGATCAGAGAACCGTTGGAAGCGTCGCGTATAAACCCTAAGTTGCGACAGGGAAGGTTTACGAATCAAGTGGTTTGCTTCTGTTTTCTGGTCATTTGTCATGAGAAGCATAGAGCCCAATTGACAGTGGGATAAGCCCATAATTGTTGGGTTAATTTTAGATTGGGCTAGACAAATGATAAAACGATTGGTCTCAAATGGCCCAAATTTCTTGCACCACCTCTGTTTTTCTATTCACACCTATCTTCTTCTACTTTTTTTTTGACAATTTTTATTCTAGAAAAATATCTACCATCCTCAAAACATAAATTTTCAGAATAATACTTGGTAATACTTCTGAAATTTTATTTTCGAAAGTGTAATCAAATCTAGTTTTTAGAAGTATATTATTTACAGAATAATATTCCAGAAACTTAATTCCGGAAGTTCTTAAAAATTCACTTTTAGAATTAATTTTTAAAATTTCATTATAATGACTTCTGGAATTAAATTTTTAAATAACCTACCATTCTTAAAATATAACTTATTTCCTGAAAGGAAAAGGAAAATGGTTTTGAGGGTATTTCTAAAACAATTTTATTAAAAAAAGAGTTGTTTATTTTTAAAAATGTTAATATTTAATATGAAATATGACATACGAAATTGGCATAAATATTTTAAATTATTAATTAATCGTTAAACAACTAAAATTTAAAAACAATAATTACTAGATGAAAATCATGCAATCGTAGTTGAAACTGATTTTTGTGACTTACGTACTCAAAAAAGTTGTACTATTAATACTAAACATTATTTTTTTAAAAAGGGTGCAAAAAACTTGGGCCATTACAATTGGGTCAAGGCCACGGCCTTCAAAACAAGTGAGACGGTGATTAAGAAATTTAAAATATTAACCAAAAAAAAATTTAAAATAAAAAATATTATTAATATTATGATATATCCTAAATATAATTTTAATAATTTTGTTTCAATAAAACCGTTGAAATATTAATCAGCAGGGTATGTATTTAAAGTTTCTCGTACTCTATGTAATCAATGTTGGACAGAAAACAAAATCTATTAAAAGAATTTGACTTTTCAAGTATTCGTGGCCTACACTTCTGCGCATGTGACTACATGCATCAAAGTATTGAATATGCTTTCCGCTCATGTCATTATTCTTTTTGAAATTTTAGGAAATAAATAGATATAGTTACAGTCTCTTTTAATGAAATGTATTTTAAGTTATATAGTCATTTACTTTTATTTTCAAATTACATTTTTCTCTTCAAAAAATAAATATGCATTATAATTTAGTTTTATTTAATATAAAAAATTTTAATGATCAACTTTTTTTATGACTCCTAATAATATTGATAATTAGTTTTGAATCTTAATTAAATTTAAATCGGGGCTTTTAAAATTGATAATATGAGTGTTTAAAGCATTATTTTATTTATTATAATTCAAAGTTGGCTACTTTAAAAGTTTTAAGTTTAATGGTATTTTTGGTTCCTCTAATTCGGTATATATGCAATTATGTTTTTTATTTTAAAAATCACAAATTTTAGAGTTTTAAGTAACAAAATTGACAAATGATTAAATTTGTACAATTTTAAAAATATGGTAAAAAATCATATATGATGATAACTCAAGAGGTCCACAGCACAGTAACTTTAGGAGATCCAAATTCTAAAACATTTGCATGTTGTAATCATTAACAGGATAAGGGTTACATATTCCACATGCCACACGTTACTACAAGAAAGAGTTGCATGCAAATAATAATAAGAATCTCAAGTCCAAGTAAATTCCCATTCCCCACCATCGAACTAGCTAGGAAGGTAAATAATTGTCTTTGATTTGTGCATGTGCAAATGTTTGTTATATGTCCTCAGAAAGTGACTTTCCTTTATCTTGATTTTTTATTGAATATTAATGAAAAAAAATATAAAAACCCCCTAACCTACAAAAAATAGCGAAGTATCTGATTTTTGTTTGTAGCAGCTTGACAGCTTAACCATGGCTGCTAGTTGGAACTGCAAGAAAAGTTCTCTCACTTTTTCATTGGCCCTTTTATTTGTCATTCGTTGGGCATATGATAAGAGACGTAACACCGATAATAATTTAACTGGACATATGAGACTTGTCTCTTCAATTATTGGTCTCTTCACAGGTGTTAGTCATATATTTTTTTATTATTGATTAAAATTTATTAAAGTAACAAATTTATGTAATATTTAAATTTAATTTAATATTTTTTTATAATTTTATACTTTTTAATAAATTTTAACCTGTATATAAAATGGTATTAAAAGAAAATAAGAGAGAAATTATGTTTTTAATACTCTTCTTGATGAGAAATGATTGTGGACGTGGTCACATGCACAAGTCTCATAACTTGTTACTCCTTTCAATTCTCAGGACCCAATTTTATATTCTCATCGTTTCAGCATTGAACAACCACGAGACCATTCCATTTTATTTTGTTTGGGATTCTCTTTTCCCTTTGTCCGGTTATGAAGTTAGGGGTAGGATATATGTGGTTCGATTTAAATCAATTTAAGTATAATGTGATCCGATATTATCATAATTTAATTCAGTAAAACATAATTTTAGTTATTAAAATGATAAATATTTGTTAATTTAGTATTTAAAATTACAAATAAATAATTCTTAAATTGGGTAAATTTGAAGTTTTTATAGAAAAAAATTAATATAAAAAATAATAAAATTTCTTTCATAAATTAAAAATAACTTATCTATTTTTTGAGAAATTGTGAGAAACTATCTTCTCTAAAATTTGATAAAATAAATTATTTCTAATTTATAAAAAAATATTTTTAAATTAAATTTTTTTCTTGTATAAGGATTTATTTAAAAATTTATCCAAACTATTATGTGTATATAAAATAAAATTTAACAATGACTAATCATAATATTTTAACAAAAAATTATAAAAAATACAAATAAATTTAGATATTATACAAAAATAATAAATAAGCAAATGCATAAAAAAATAATAGTTTCGCATGTAAATGAAATTTTTAATAAAGCAAAACTGAAAGATGAAGCCCTAGGCCAGCGTAAGCATAAATCCTAAAATATATTTTATGGATTAAAGTGAAGTTAAGTTACAAAGATTGTAATTTGTAATTTTTGTCTTAATAACTTTTTTTACTTTGCAAGCACTAATTACAAATCCTATAATAAATATGTAATAATAAAAAATTTTATAAAAGATGAAAGTAAAATAAAAAAAAATATATATATATATATATATAGTGTGTGTAATAATAGTATAATTTTTTTAAAAATTAAATTTTAAAAATTGAAATATAAATAAATTAAGTGAAACTTTTTAAGTAATTTTAATTAAATTTAAAATTTTATTGAAATACTTATCTTTTATGGAAAGAATTTTGTATTTTCAATTAAAATATTTAAGCAACTATGTACAAGTTTTCTCTATACAAAGGCTAAAAATCTATATGGATAAAGTAAATAAAAGTTTGATAAAAAGAATAAACGAAAGAATTGACAAGTCAAAGGTAAAAAAAAAAGTATTTAATATAATAAAACGAAAAATACAAGGTTTAAAAAATGTAAATTACGATGTAACAATAGTAGTAAAATAACTTCTGTGTTGTATTTTATGTGTGGGTGTTTTACTTTTACTGATAGCATGTATAAAAGCCTCATTAAAATAAAAATAACTAAACCAACACTGTACTAAATCTTCTCCAATCTCTAAAAGGACCTAAATCCGGTGTTCATATTTGTCCTACATCCTTGTCTCGCTGTGTTCATACTGTCTCTTTTCATCTTCAGGAAGAACTATAATCTATCAGTTCCAAGGATCATGTTTTTGGTGAATGTCGTGCAATAAATCATTCTGATGACTGAAATCAAAATGGAAAGAAATATCCGTTTGTTGACTTTAGTGTTTAATTTGAATTTAATATTTAAAAATAATGAGGCCGCTGACTATTTAGCTCTAATATTATTTTATTAAAAATATAACATTTATTCTATTTTATATTATAAAATAATAAATATTTTTTAATTAAAAGTATCACTTTTAATTATTTAATTTTAATCTTAAAGATCGAGGTTAACTAGTTAAAATAAATACCCGTTTGGTGCCAACAAGTGCATTCAACAGACAGCTCATTCTAATTTCACTTCCCATTTTCTCTATCCATATCTCTTATAATTTTTTTCATTTTAGAAATTAATTTTTTAAATAATCATAAATTATTTTCAATTTAGAAAAAAAAAATCAAATAAAAGATGGAGATGTTAAGAAATTCCCTCACCACTCACCAGACACCAAAAACAAAAAAATATTGCATCGGACGTAGGCCTAACTCTGTACGTGTTCCACTACTAAAGTACTAAGCCCACTCCTATGAACCTTAATACACTTTTTCTTTTTTATTTTCTATCAATTTAATTTGAGCCACACACTTAAATATAATAAATAATTCTATTATTAAAATTTTTGTATATATATAATTATTTAAATTTAAAATTTTATTTAAATAATACTAAACTGCTTACAACTCAAACTAATTTTTATTTATCAACTTCAGGACATTTTAAAATCATAATAATTGACCCTCTTACTTACTTCTCAAAATATAAATTTTTATATAATGTTATAACCAAATTTTAGAAAAAACTTTTTTTTCAATCGATATGGGTAGAGACGGACCCACACAATCGTTGGTATGTCTGGTGAAGGCTAATAATGATTGGTTTAATATTTTATATGCATAACGTTAATATACAAATTTAGGTGCTCAACTACATGTGGCTTTCGAAGATGTTTATATTCGACGCGTAAAATTGATGAGAATAATAATTAAGTTTCTAACAAACAACAATAATTTACGGTTATTTATTAGTTTATAATGAAGGTTTTGTTCGATAGTAGAATGTTCCAAATTGCTTTTCCTAACATAAGGAACTTCACTCTTTAAAAGAATGCAGATATTCTTTTGTTGAGGATTTATACATTGAACTATATATAAAGTCTCTCTCTCTCTCTCTCTATATATATATATATATATATTTGTTTGAAAGTTGACTTTAAAAGAAAAAAATCAATAATAATC